TATAGTAAACTTGTCGAAGCTCAACACCTTGAACAAGCAGATGAAAATCAAGATAGTCTAGTTAAATCTATTACTCCACCAGAGGATGCTGATCCTTTATTAACATCAAATCAAGTGGATATTGTTCCAGAAGAAGATTATAAACTTGGACGTGTCATTTCCAATTCTAATAAATCTGTATCATCTGCTGTTTTGGCCAACCGAAGGAATGATCTTGAAGCTAACATGAAACATGATTATGAGTATACAACATGGGAATTAGTTCAAAAAATTGGAAGAATGAGTCGTCAAGAAATATCTGTTCTTTTCATTGGTTTAATTGCTTCAATTCTTAATGGTAGCATATATCCAATATTCTCCATAATCTTTTCAAATGTTCTCCAATCTTTTTCAGAAACTGGTGACCAATTAAAACATGATGCCACATTCTGGGCACTCATGTTCTTAGTTATAGCTGTAGGTACATCACTTGCAAATATTATTCAAGGTGCATGTTTTGGTTATTCTGGTGAAAGTCTCACTCGTAAAATTCGTTCTGCGTCATTTGCTGCAATGTTAAGACAAGATATTTCATTCTTTGATGAAGACAATCACAATACTGGCTCTTTAACCGGTTCTTTAGCATTGGATGCTACTCATGTTAATGGTTTAGCTGGTGTCACTCTAGGTACTTTATTACAAGTCATGACTACAATTATCGGTGGGATGGCTGTATCTCTTGCAGTTGGATGGAAACTTGCTTTAGTATGCATGTGTTGTATACCTGTAATGCTTGGGTCTGGTATGTTACGTATGAAGATGTTAAACGGCTTTCAACAAAAGACCAAAAAAGCTTATGAAAATTCTTCTAATGTTGCTTGTGAAAGTTCTGCAAATATTAGAACTGTTGCTGCTCTTACTCGTGAAGAAGATGTATTAAATATTTATCATCATATGCTTGATGAACCAATGCGTCAAGGATTTAAAAATGCATTTTTAGCTTCAATTGCTTTTGCTTTTGCCCAATGTGTTACATTTTTAACAAATGCTTTGGCATTTTGGTATGGTGGTAGATTAATTATGACCGGTGAATATGACCTTAGGAAAATGTTTACTGTTTTTATGGCTATTATATTTGGTTCAATGTCTGCTGGTCGTGCATTTGCTTATGCACCTGCAGTAGCAAAAGCTAAATCTGCTGCTGCATCTATTATGTCAATAATAGAACGTATTCCCACAATTGATGCTTGGTCTCATACCGGTAAAAAAATTGAAAAAGTTGAAGGAAATCTTAAATTCACAGGTGTACATTTCCGATATCCAACTCGACCTCATGTTCCAGTACTTCGTGGTTTAGATTTAGAAATAAAACCTGGTCAATTTGCTGCTTTGGTTGGTCCTTCAGGATGTGGTAAAAGTACCACTATTAGTTTAACTGAACGATTTTATGATATAACTGATGGTAAAATAGAAATTGATGGAATAGACATTACTACCCTAAATGTTAGTAATCTTCGGGAAAATATCGCATTAGTTAGTCAAGAACCATCTTTATATGATATGTCAATCAAAGAGAATGTGACTTTTGGATGTCGACCAGGACAACAACCAA